ACACAAGGTGTTCCATGAAATACCGTCAGAACAATGCACACATGCACATGGGATGCACGTTGCCTGCATTATTTACTGTGCCTACATGTACTCCACCCCACACCCACCAAAAGTGCACATTGGGAAGATCATGTCAAACCTCACAGTGGCCAGTGTTAGTCATCTCCTGCTAGTATCTCATGTTTTACGTTTTGGCACCAACTCTGTCATCCAGAATACTCCCTTTCCCCACCCAAATAAGACACTGTCATGCAACTTCTTTTAACTCATCTGTATTTGTTACAACTTTAAACAGAATGTGACTCGAGCACTACATTTCCATCCACAAGACTGGCTCCGAGTTATTTTTGAACAAGTTATGATATGCTTAGGTAGGCTAATAACTGATCCTCCAAACAATACTTTTCTTTGGAAAACAAGCCCTATGGAGAGTTCCATCAAGTTGCTTCAGTTTAACCTATTTCTAGAGGACTAGTACATGCAGAATTGGCAACTACAGGGGATGAAAGAAAGTAGATCCTACGAGATATAACAAATACTTTTCTTCTAAATATCAAGGTATAGCTTGAGAACACTTCGGTAAGATTTGGTCTACTAAGGAATCCGGCTTGATAGCTACACACTTTAGACCACAAAGTTAACATGTTACATACATCTTACAACACACATTACCTCAATCTGTTCACGTAAGCCAATGTGAAACTAAAAAAGCATTACTAGCTCTGCTTTGCTGCCTAAAGTATCACAGCATCGCTTAGTCGACAGGAATCTTTATCTTCCCCGTAAAGTAGTAGTTGTCATGCCATACAGACTTTTTAATGTTAACAAAAATAAAGAAAAACATCCTTGAAAATATATTATTAGAGGAACTGTAGAGTACTGAACAGGTAAGTCATCCCTCAGCTGGAGCTTAGTCTACTTCTTCCATGCGTGATGTGTCGTCATCTCCTTCGAGGGGTGGCATTTCTTCAGTTACAGCTGCACTGGTATCATCAGCAGTAGGGTCATCTTCATCAATACCTGTTTTCAAAACAAAATCCTCTATTAGAAAGATTTCTTAAAGCCAGCTAATTGGTATAACACACTCCTGGTTTATGCCTGCTTTCAAGACAGTAATACTGGGCAGATGAATCTTCATTTCTTAGCTTTTTTAACACCTTACTTATCTCTATAGAAAGAGATACCTGAATGCTTCCAAGTAGGACAATGTGCTCCAAATTTGGGTAACTGAAAGTTAACCACTTTTTTCACTAGTCATGTGTGTGTGTTTTCTTAACTTGACATAGTTTAAGGCTTACCAAGACCAAGTTTGATCATCCTGTAGATCCTGTTAGCATGTGTCTGGGGATCTTCCAGACTGAAGCCAGAAGACAGGAGCGCAGTTTCATAAAGCAGGATGACCAGATCCTTCACAGACTTGTCGTTCTTATCAGCCTCTGCCTTTTGCCTTAAGGTCTCAATAATGGAATGGTCAGGGTTTATCTCCAGGTGTTTCTTTGCTGCCATGTAACCCATTGTTGAGTTGTCTCTTAGGGCTTGAGCTTTCATGATTCTCTCCATGTTTGCTGTCCAGCCGTATGTGCTTGTGACAATACAGCATGGAGACGTCACCAATCGGTTTGACACAACCACCTGTAATGAAGAAACAACTTAGGAGCCTAGAAAGATTAAAACTTTAATTGTGAAATGAAATCTGGGTTATCTACTATCAAATACAACTTAAGGTTTTATTAGGTATCCTACACCTAACAGCACAGGCTAAAATTGTGTTTTACATACACAACCATAGTTTTCTGTGAAGTTGAGAATAAGGGAAAATAGATTATGTAAGCTTGAAAGCACCTTAGGGGTATCAATAATCAGGAAATGTTGTTTTCACATACCTTTTCAACTTTTTTCTCCAATATGTCTTTCATGATTTTGCAGAGATTCTCAAACTTTGTTTTTTTCTCTTCCTGTTTCTTTTTTTCTTCTTCATCCTCTGGTAGTTCCAAGCCCTCTTTGGTGACTGACACTAAAGTCTTCCCCTCAAATTCCTTCAGCTGTTGGACACAGTACTCATCAATGGGCTCAATCATATAGATCACTTCTAAGCCATGTTTTCGAAGACGTTCCACGAAGGCTGAGTTAGCTACCTGGTCCTTGGTCTCACCTGAGGTATTATAAAAGTTGCTTTTATACCTTTCAACAGTAAGAAATGGCTTCACCTACTTCTGACTTTTCTTAGTAGTCAGAACCTAAAACAGATGACCTAGTTCATTTAAATATCTTGGTTAGATCAACACCAGTTATGCTAACAGTGCTACCTGAAGAGAAAACACATCCAGAGCCTACAAGGTTCCAAGAACAAAGTATCTGAGTGTAATGTACGGTTCCCCTACCTGTGATATAATAGATATGTTTCTGGTTTTCCTTCATTCTGGTGCAGTAGTCCTTGAGAGAAACCATCTCATCACCAGAGGCAGATGTGTAGTATCTCAACAGCTCTGAAAGCTTCTTCCGATTTTGAGAGTCTTCGTGTATTCCAAGCTGAAACAAAGTAAGTTCTTTACAAAAACGTTTTGAGTTTAAAAAAAAAAAAAAAAAATCTACAAAGAGGCCAGTTGTAAAACTACTAATGGTCAAATATTTACACTAACCTTTATGTTTTTAGAGAACTGCTCATAGAACTTCTTGTAGTTCTCTTTATCTTCTGCCAGTTCAGTGAAGAGTTCTAAGCATTTTTTGACCAAATTCTTCCTGATAACTTTCAGAATTTTGCTTTGTTGCAACATCTCACGGGAAATGTTTAGAGGGAGATCCTCTGAGTCTACCACCCCTCTAATGAAATCTGAAAAAAATATAAAAACCAAATGCCAAGTCATTCCAAAGACAAAACTGATGCTAGGTAAACCCCAAAATCAAAGGTAAAAACCTCAAAATATATACATATGTATTTTCTGAGATGGAGTCTGTTTTCCAGGGTAGAGGGCAGTGGCCCAATCTCTGCCCACTGCAACCTCTCTCCCACCCCCCTCTTCCCATTCAAGCTATTCTCAAGCTTCAGCTGGGACTACAGGCACCCACCACCACACCAGGCTAAATCTGTACAGACGGGGTTTCAAATCATTTTGGCTAGACTGGTCATGAATTCCTAACCCTAGGTGATTCACCCACCTACACCTCCCCAAAGTGCTAAGATTACAGGTGTGAGCCACTGTGCCAGCCAGAAAGTATTTCTTTAATCACTGATGGGGATTATTTTCCCTATTCGTACTTACTCAGATATTCAGGGATTAGCTCCTCACAGTTATCCATGATGAAAACTCTGCGTACATACAACTTGATGTTGTTCTTTTTCTTTCTGTTTTCAAACAGGTCAAAAGGAGCACGTCGTGGGACAAATAGAAGGGCTCTGAATTCCAACTGTCCTTCAACTGAAAAATGCTGTAATAAAAGACACACTTAAGTACCAATGAACGATGCATTAGAGAAAGTATCTGTGGTGGTGAAGAAAGATCATCTAAAGACAAGCTCCAGGCACCACTCAGTCACTCACCTTCACTGCCAAGTGATCTTCCCAGTCATTGGTCAAGCTCTTGTAAAATTCTCCATACTCCTCATTAGTAATATCGTCGGGATTTCTGGTCCAGATGGGCTTTGTTTTGTTGAGTTCTTCTTGATCGATGTACTTTTCCTTAATCTTCTTCTTTTTCTTCTTGTCACCATCCTTCTTTTCTTCTTCTTCTTCATCAGAACCAACATCTTCAATTTCCGGCTTGTCTTCAGAGTCTTTCTCTTCTTTTTCTTTTTCTTCTTCTTTATCTTCCTTTTCTTCAGCCTCATCATCACTGACTTCTTTATCACGTTCCTTCTCCACCTGCAAAACACGACATGAAATCACATCACTGCTGCATTCTAGAACTGGTGACACTGAGCAACTATTTTCAACCTAAGGCCAAAGCCTAGTCAGCCAAGCAGAGAAGCAGCCAGGCAGCTTCTCATCAACATATCTTACGAAGTTAGGTAGTAGAGTTTAGGTTCCCCAGACTCCAGACTAGTAAATAACCCAAGTTCAACACATCTAAGGACTAAGGATGTAGCTCAGTCACCCCAGTCATCTCCAGACAGTAATACACCCTACAATTATATAGAAACTTACAAAAAGAGTAATGGGATAGCCAATAAACTGAGAATGTTTCTTCACAATCTCCTTTATTCTGCGTTCCTCCAAGTACTCAGTTTGGTCTTCCTTCAGGTGTAAGATAACCTTTGTTCCACGACCCATAGGTTCACCTGTAGTAGGGAAAATCGACTCAATAATCCAATCAATTTAGCGTTCAACGCCATGCCTAACTCATGTCCACAAAGTGAGATTTGCCATTCCTACAGGTGAAAAGGTTCCCACAGCAGGTCTAAGCGCCTTGCCAGAAAGAAGTAACCAAGTCATGCCGCATTAAGTGCTCTAGCTTGTTCCTGAACGTTGGGCAAACACAAGTTTCTGTAAGCTTCACAGAGGTCCATGGGCTGCAGCACCCCACCCTCCCGCCACTGACTTAACCCGTGCATGCTCGGGCACCTACCTGTGTCTGTCCTCACTGTGAATGATCCCCCTGCTGAGGACTCCCAGGCGTACTGCTCATCATCGTTATGTTTGGTGATCACTGTTACTTTCTCAGCAACCAAATACGCAGAATAAAAACCAACACCAAACTGGCCAATCATAGAGATATCTGCACCAGCCTGCAAAGCTTCCATGAACGCTTTGGTCCCAGACTTGGCAATAGTACCAAGGTTATTGATCAAGTCAGCCTTGGTCATTCCAATTCCAGTATCCACAATAGTGAGGGTTCGATCTTGTTTGTTTGGTATAAGGTTAATATGCAGCTCTTTCCCAGAGTCCAGTTTACTGGGATCCGTCAAGCTCTCATACCGGATTTTGTCCAATGCCTATTAACAAAAATTACAAATTAGGCATACAGCGCCCCCCAACCTCACTGAAACCGAAACCCTAATCTGGGTTAATAAGCGACTTACATCTGAGGAATTTGAAATGAGCTCTCTCAGAAAGATCTCTTTGTTCGAATAGAAAGTATTGATGATCAGTGACATCAACTGGGCAATTTCTGCCTGAAAGGCGAACGTCTCCACCTCCTCCTCCTCCATCGGTTGGTCTTGGGTCTGGGTTTCCTCAGGCATCTGGAAGGACACCGAGCCGGTTTAAAACCCTGCAGGACGTCTACACGGGCAACACGAAATTCCATCGCGTCCTCCAAACGTTTTTAAAGCCCAGCTGGAGATTTGCGGAGTTTAAGTAAACCGAAAATAGAAGGGCGGCTGACAAAGGATGACCTCATTTCGAGCGCGGCAACCACCAGGAGCGTGTGCGCGCTTCCGGGAGGCGGCCGCGGGCCCCGACGGACACCCCGCACCCTCCCGCGCGGGCCGGGGCGCGTGGCGGCTCCTCCCCAGCGGCCGCCTCCGCCGGCGCCCCAGCCGAGCCGGCCGAGGGGTCCCCCGCAGCCGGGGCCCTCCGTTCCGGTGCGGCGCTGCGGGGGCGCCTCGGGGAGCCCGCGGCCGCCGGGCCCATTCCTGACGCGGGCGCGGAGAGCGCAGCCGGCCGGAGGCCTCCGGAGTAGGCAGCGCGGCCTGGCGGATTCCGGGCCCCGGCCCAGCCGCCTCGGCCCCCAATCCCCCTCGAGCCTCCCCCACCGCCCCTCACCTTGGCTAAGGGACCGCACAGGCTCCGCAGCGCAGCAGCACCAGGACGCTGAAGCAACTGGCGCGCCGCCCCCGAGCCTGCCTTATATACCGACGGGCCCGCCCAGCGCGCGGCGCTTTTTCCAGAAGCCTCCCGAACCTTCCGGAAGAACCCTCCCCAACTGCCGCGGCGGCCGCGCGCCTGCGCCTGCGCCCTCGCCGCGGCCCGCCCCTCCCCCTGGCGCGCGCAGGCCCCGCGCGTGGCCCGGCCCCGGCAACCCTCCCTCAACCGCCGCCGCGCGCCCCCTGCACGCCCCCGCGCCAACCTCAGTGCGCCTGCGCGCCGCGGAATTCTCGGGAAGGTCCAGGCCCCTTCCGTGGCCGCCCGCGCCCTCCGCCCTGCGCGCCCTCCGCCCTGCACCCCCACCCGCCGAGCGCGGGCGGACGGCGCGCCCGGACGTGCGGGCCTTTGTGAAATGCGCGAAAGGGAGGTGTCGTTGGTCACCCGTGTGCGGGTGCCGTGAGAGCGCCGCGCGTCTGACAACCCGGCTGAGCAGAGCGCGGGGCCTGGGCGGGAGGCGCGCCTGAAGGGAGGGCCGTGTGTGGACCGGAGCGCCCCGGGTCTCACGCGCCGGGTAGACTGCCCGAGTCGTGGCCGTGCTGCCCCAGAACCCGGCCGCAGGCGGCGCTGGGATCGCGGTGCTCTGCTCACCGGGGGCGGGCCGCGGGCCACCCGCTGCTCACGGAGGACGCCTCTGGCGCGGGGGTGCTCGGCAGCGTTCCCTGCCTTTGGGTTCCCCGAAAGCCATGTCCTTCATATTTCAGGGTCCCTTAATTTGGGGTACAAGTTCATGCTCACCCAGCTGCACCAGGCATGATTTTAAAAAGCGCATTGTTTTGCCGATCGATTTATTTGAGGTCTCCAAGTGAAGTATAAGAATTCTTGGGTGATTAACTTGCCCTAAGAGCCAGGTTTGGGGTTTTTTGCTTGTTTGGACAGGCTCTCCCTGTCGCCCAGGCTGGGGTGCCATGGCGCAGTCTCGGCTCACCTGCAGCATCGACCTCCCGGGCTCAGGTGATTCTCCTGCCTCAACCTCCCGAGTAGCTGGGACCACGGGCGCCGACACCACGCCCGGCTAGTTTTTGTATTTATTTGTAGAGACGGGTTTTCACCATGTTACCCAGGCTGGAAGAGCCAGTTTCTACATGAGAATTTTAGGATATTTTGGCCAGCGCCAGCTGTGAGAACCTTGGAGGCGTTGTGGTTCCTTAGAGCTGGCTCAGGTCATCACCCTGGTTCCCCTGCCTGGCCCCTGTCCTCCTCCTCTTTGTCTCTGGCGCCTCCCATGATGGAGCAGCCTCCTGCCTAGACTCACAGCCATGCCCGGGAATAATCGGGAAGCTCCTCGCCGTGTAAACAAAGGACGGAGCTAATTCCACTTCCTGGTCTCTGGGGAAACCCAACTTGCTCAGGAGCAGGGGTTTTCAGACTGCGGCCTGAGACCCCCCCCAAGAGTGTGTGAAATCAACGGAAAGCGTCTCGCCTGGCATTGCAAAGCGGAGGAAGTGGATGGAAACTAGCAGCCACGTGGCGCGGGCCCCAGCGTTGGGGGCGTGTGCCGAGTCCCCTGGTAGCCGTTCCGCACCCTGGGGGCGCGCCCCCGGCCCAGGCTTTCCCTACAGCCGCCGCCGGGGCAAATGCGGAAGCAGGAGGGGCCCGAGGTCTTCCCTGGAGAGTGACCCTCCACCTGTTTCCTTATGGTCGCCACCAGCCACTGCCCCCTCTCCTCACTTGTAGGAACTCTTCCTAACGCAGTTTCTGCCATTGCTCGGGGGGTTGAGATTTCTTACAGAGGAGCCATCCAGGGGCCTAGCTCTGACATTCTTTGTCCTTTGTTTCTGGGGCCTTCATTTTTCCCCATTCCTCCAGTAAACCTGCCCCAAAGCCCCTCCCTGGGTCTGGGCATCACTGGGAACCACTGTTTCCCGTCGGGCCCCACCATTAATGTCCCTCCCTCCTTCCGCAAATTCCTGTCTTTCCAGCTCTCCTGTCTCAGTTAATAAACAGAACATTGTGGTCCTGTCTCAAGGTGACATTCCACAGTTACCCACAAGTTGAGACCTCTGCCATGGTTTCTATCATCAACACGCCATGGTTTTCCTCTCAGCCCCTGGCTGTTCTCTGTCCTCACACTCACGCCCCTCTCCCTCACACAGCAAGGAGCTCCTTGCCCCCAGGTCTTGTTCCAGCACTCTCACTAATAGGACCTGTGTGCAGATGACTCATGAAGAGCCTGGCCACGACTCCGCTCCAGACCTGGATGCTGAGCTCGTGAGCTTCCCCCACCTCTCTGGCCCTCTTTGAGGGCTCGTTAGCCAGGTGACTGACTGTCTCACGAACCAAGAACCCCAAACTTCCTCACAAAGGATCCGGCACTGAGTCCTGCCACTTCTGTCCACATACACCCCCCAACCCACCCCCCACCCCCGCTTCCACACAACTGTTGGCTCACCTGGAAGGCCTCCATAACCACCTAACTGCTCCCTGGCATCTGGTCTGATCCGTCTCCAACCTGTAGCCCAGGTGAGCTTTGAGAACATACACCTGGCCCTATCTCTTGCCTCCTCCCCACCCGCCGCAAATCTCTTTTTTTAATGATGGAGCAGTACTTTATTTTTACATATTTGGACAAGGAGGTTTTCCATAAACAACCTTTCCAGTGGAGAACAAAGACCATGAAAATCAGCCTCCAGATATCAGTAGCTGTGTCTGCTCAGGGCCGAGGCTCCCCTTTGCCCATGTGGTGAGGTGGAGGGGTGTACTTCCCTTCCTTCATCAGTTTATCCCATTGCCTTCAGATGGTATCCCTGTGTTTCACCGTTTTTTTCCAAGGTATACATTCTATGAAATTATCATATTCTATCTTGCACTCTTTCTCTGCCCAGGTAGTACCGATTCCATGTGCACCTTCTATCCATTCTTTTTCAAAAGCATGGCATTGAGCAGGAAGCTTGTAGGGCTGTTCAGCACTTTGGATTGTCCACCATGGATCTAGGTTAATGCCGAACCTTTTCTGCACGTCACAGAAAGGCATGGCTTTTCTTTGCCTGGATCTGCATATCCATTGCTTCATGGGTGTTTTTATACTGAAATCAAAGGAGGCCTTCAGGCATAGAGAGGCAAGCCCAGGCTATTGCTGTTTTCTGTTTCATGGATCCTGAGGCCCCGACACTCAGTGGAACGGGTCTAGGTATTCTTCCCAACATAGCCTTGCTCCCCCTGGGCAACTCGTAGCTGACTTCCCATCCTTCCCGGAGGAAGATAGAGCTCTTTAGGCCTGTGAGGCCCGGTAAGTCGCTGCTGCCTACCCATACAGCCCCAGTTCCCACTGTGCCCCTATTTTTATACCTGGCACCCTCCCCATGACTCCCCCCACAAGGCTGTGCAAATGCTATTCCCTCTGCCTAGAGCACCATTCCCTCTGTTCTTCTTTAATTAATTTCTACTGGACCTTCTGCTCGCATGTTTTCTTAAGAACCCCTGCCTGCCTCCCACCAGGCCACGTGTCCTGTCATGGAGAGGTTCTCAGAATGTGGTGCCCTCTCCTTCAGAGTACAGACCACATTGCTCTTCTGCTTCCTGTAGCCCTCCAACCCCAGGTTCTTCCACTTCTGCTTGACCTCCTTTTCTGTCCATCCTCCTCCCTGGCTTCCTCAACAACATATTTTTAATAGATCACCAAGCTCTGCAGATTTAGCCTCCTAAGTATTTGTTGACCTCGTCCCACAGTGATCTTGCTGTCAGGGCAATCTGACCATTTTCCTCCTCCATTTGAAAGGTTTCAGTGTCCCTCCATAAAGCTGGAGCATGGATTCCAGATCCAGGCGCCCTGGATTTAGATCCTAGTTCAGCCACTGCCTGTGTAACCCAGAGCAAGTCACTTACCCTTTCTGTGCATCCAGTTCAATATCTGTAGAATGGGCATGAACATGTCTTCTTCATAGAGTGGTTATGAAGCTTAAGTGAGCAGATTCTGGTTTTGGACATGGCTCAGGTGCTAGCCTACCCCACAGCAATTTATGCCCCCTTACATGCTTGCCAGGCAGCAGGCTAGGTACTTTGCATGCAGTGTCTTTTTTTCTTTTCTTTTCTATATTCATTTTCCTCAATATGCAGTGCTGCATGCAGTTTCTTAATCCTCTCAACTCTGAAGTAAGTGGCTTTGGTCCCACTGTACAGATGAGAACACAGAGGCTCAGGAGAGGAGATAAGTCCTTTACTCAGGGTCACCCAGAGCAAGGGCCTCCAGGGCAGTTACACCAGGTCTGGCTCATAATTTTTTTTTTTTTTTCTGAGACACAGTCTCAGTCAGGCGCAGTGGCTCACACCTGTAATTCCAGCACTTTGTGAGGCTGAGGCAGGCGGATCACATGAGGTCAGGAGTTCAAGGCTAGCCTGGCCAACGTGGTGAAACCCCGTCTCTACAAAGAATTTTAAAAAATTAGCTGGGTGTGGCAGTGCACGCCTGTAGTCCCAGCTATTTGGGAGGCAGAGGTTCCAGGGAGTGGAGATTGTGTCACTGTGCTCCTGCCTGGGCAACAGAGCGAGACTCTATCTAAAAAAAAAAAAAAAAAAAAAAAAAAAAAAAAAAAAAAAAAATAAAAAAAAAAAAAAAAAAAGACACAGTCTCACTCTGTTGCCCAGGAGGGAGCACAGTGGCACAGACATGGTTTACTACAGCCTCAACCTCCCAGGCTTAAGCGATCCTTCTGCCTCAGCCTCCTGAGGAGCTAGGACCACAGGTATGTGCCACCATGCCCAGCTAATTTTATTGTTATTTTTTTGTAGAGATGAGGTCTCACTATACTGCCGAGGCTGGTCTTGAACTCCTGGACTCAAGCATTCCTCCCACTGTGGCCTCCCAAAGTGCTGGGATTACAGGCATGAGCCACTGCAACTGCTCTTGGCTCATAAATTTTCATACATTGTTTTTTTTTTCATTTTCATTCAGTTCAAAATATTTTTTAAATTTCCTTTTCTTATTTCTTGACTCATGGGTTATTTATAAATGTTTTACTTAGTTTTCAAATAGAGGTTTTTCAGATATCTTTTTGCTAATTTTTTTTTTTTTGAGACAGCGTCTCGCTCTGTCACCCAGCTGGAGTACAGTGGTATGTTCTTAGCTCGCTGCAACCTCCGCCTCCCAGGTTCAAGCAATTC